CTAATAACGAGTAAAATCGTCATTATGTCCGACCCTACTAGAGATACACACGATCCCCATTATCTCCTCACCCACTCAACCTTTAACCACCAAAATTTAACATATTTAAACAATTTAACAAATTTAAGCATAAATTCCTCTAATACATAGACCTCTCTGCAAAATTTCAGAAATTTTCGTTTAAAGGCACAGCAGTTATTAAGCTTTGAAGTGGGTAAACAAAATCGTCTCCCCTCTCCATAAACGCACACATACATACATACAGAAAAAAAACACATCCACACATACACATCCACACAAACATCCATAAAGACAGAAAAATTCCCCGCAATTTTTTGCATTTTTCGACTTTTCAAAATCCCCAGAGTCCAAAAATATAAAAATCTTGTGGATGTCATTTTTTGACCGATGAAATGCTTTCCTTGTTATATATAACTGGGAATGTAAAAACGATATAATTCTAAGGTTGTATGATAAAGTTAACTCAATGGAAATATTTTTGAAACATATTATAAGTATATTTGATTAAAAAATAGAAATTCCATTAATCGAAATTTGATCAATCAGTATTATTACCAGATTAATAAATAATGTTGTCCTGTATTACGTGTTAAACATAATAATAATTAATTAATTAAAATTTTCAAAAATGAATTAAGTTTATTTCTCAAAAATTTATTTAATTAATTAAGAATTAATAAATTAACGAAAAAACTGAAACAATTATAAAAACATTTATTTAAAATAACGATTGTCTTTCGATTGTCAATGCGAAATAAGAAACAAATTTTCGGTTTCAATTTTTAATGATTCGTTATTAAGTTTTTGGTTTTGTTTTGTTATATATATATATATTAATTGGCAATATTTTTCAAAAATGATTTTAAGTTAACTACAAAAAATGTGTAGCAATTGCATTTGAAATTGTTTTTGTTTCAGAATAAATATTTATGATGTTAGCAGAATATTTTTTCTTTGTGTGTCAATTATTAGTGTTTTTACCTTAATATCCAATGTCATTTCTTCGCAAAACGTGTTTAAGCGAATTGTCAATTTGAGTCTCTGCCAAGGAAGCTTTCTCGTTGAGGTTCAATTAATTAAAACGATATTTCAGTTTAAAAAATTGGCTATATAATCAAATAAATATGCAATTATAAGTATTTTAAAACGTCAATTTTTAAAATAATTAAGTTAATTAATTAAATTATTTAACTATGATGTAATTAATTATTTTTACTGATTATTCGAATCATATAAAATAATCCTATGTAATATAAAAATATAACAAAATAAGTTGCAGAAAATAGTAAATTGCATTATATTATTTTTATAAAGAAAACTTTAAGACAAACAAACCTTTACTTAAAAAGTAAATGAAGTAAAATCCTGCATAAAAAATATTCCAGCATTTCATTTTCTTCGATCATTTCCCCTTTAACTGCAACTTAACTAATTGCATTCTCTATAAACATAAGTATTTTTGTATTCTAAAGCGGATGTTTGCATGCAAATCCTGAATAAATAGTTGTGTACGGAAGACATCACCAACAAAATTTTTCAAATTAAATAGAGAAGTATTTAATTATCCCTCAGTTTATAGGAAAATATAAATTATTTTCATATATATAACCATTTAATTTAAAAAATAATTTATATAATAAATGCTCGTTAATTAATACTGTAACAATTTTCTAAAGATGAGACATTGAAGCAAATTTTATTCCTTAAATATTTGTTTGTTAATTGAATAAAATTTTCTATATAAAATTTCAAAATAACAATGTTTAATTAAATTAATTAATAAGATTTTTCTAACAAAAGTTTTAAATTTATAGTTAATTGATATTATAAATATTTAAATAGCTGTTTTAACTTTACTGTGATCTGATTTTAACACAAGGTTAAATTGCTTTGATTTTATTTTTACATTTATTTTAATTAAAAACAAATAAATAAAATAAAATTCGAAATCCATAATTCCTGTATTATTCATTGATTTAATTGTGTAAAGACAAAAAAATTTTAATTAATATATTAAAATATTTAAATAGAAATATATATATTTATTTTTTAAATTATGAAATTAAAAGTCGAAAATGCATCACTAAGTGTTGAATTGTAAGTTAAATTGCCAAGGCCAAAGACATTAAATGAATCTTCTAATCTTCCATTTTCGTCCATTGTCAATCGTTAAGAAAATTGAAATTTTTCGTCACAAGAATATGACGAATAAGCGATTTCAAAATCGATCATTTTTAATATGCCTGTTTTCGTTATGGAAGATAATACGTATTTATAAGCAGATATTTTGAGTTCATATTGCTTATTATTTCAAAAATTATGATAAAAAAGAAAGCATTGTTTACATCTGTTAAATTATATCCTAGTACGTACTAAATAGCATTTACAGTAACATAACAGTCTCCAACCGGGCACCGTAACGAGATCCGTAACAGAATAGTCATTGTGGCCGTCACCTCCTCGTAACAGCATTTCGAGTGGTGGCATCAACGAACTTTTTTCCCGTCTCGCTTCTACCTCTGACTCGCCGGATTAGTTACAGAAAATTGTTGTTGAAAACGGTGGCTCTAACCGGACAGAACATAGAGCAGCAGTCTGCACAAGGCGTTGTTAAGTTATGAAAAAAGCTCTATAGCCTAACCTGTGAAAGGAAGGCCCTACAGTCTGTACATGGGTTACGTAATTAATAAATTCTTGAGATAATTATATATTTATTATACGAATTCACTAAGAGATTAGATAATTAGACATGTACTGTACTGTATACATTTTCATTTTGAAAACGGAAGTAAAAACTTACAATAATAAAAAATAACCAGTAAAAGTTACATCATGTTAACAATTCATTCAAAATTAGGAAAAAAAAATACTAAATTCAAATACCTTTATTAAAAACAGAAATAGTTTTAAAACAGAAAAATTATATTAATTGAGTTTTAACCAAATATTTATTTAAATAAGTACAATTAACGTTTATCTATCGTAAATAGTTCATCATAGTAGTCTGAATGAGCATAAATTAAATTTTAATTTATATTTCGTACAAATTAATAAACTTTATTTGAATAAGTTTTTAACTCTGGCAACAATCATAATTTTGGGGTAGAGATAACTTTTATTTTTAAAAAAATGTAAATACTAATAACGAGTAAAATCGTCATTATGTCCGACCCTACTAGAGATACACACGATCCCCATTATCTCCTCACCCACTCAACCTTTAACCACCAAAATTTAACATATTTAAACAATTTAACAAATTTAAGCATAAATTCCTCTAATACATAGACCTCTCTGCAAAATTTCAGAAATTTTCGTTTAAAGGCACAGGAGTTATTAAGCTTTGAAGTGGGTAAACAAAATCGTCTCCCCTCTCCATAAACGCACACATACATACATACAGAAAAAAAACACATCCACACATACACATCCCCACAAACATCCATAAAGACAGAAAAATTCCCCGCAATTTTTTGCATTTTTCGACTTTTCAAAATCCCCAGAGTCCAAAAATATAAAAATCTTGTGGATGTCATTTTTTGACCGATGAAATGCTTTCCTTGTTATATATAACTGGGAATGTAAAAACGATATAATTCTAAGGTTGTATGATAAAGTTAACTCAATGGAAATATTTTTGAAACATATTATAAGTATATTTGATTAAAAAATAGAAATTCCATTAATCGAAATTTGATCAATCAGTATTATTACCAGATTAATAAATAATGTTGTCCTGTATTACGTGTTAAACATAATAATAATTAATTAATTAAAATTTTCAAAAATGAATTAAGTTTATTTCTCAAAAATTTATTTAATTAATTAAGAATTAATAAATTAACGAAAAAACTGAAACAATTATAAAAACATTTATTTAAAATAACGATTGTCTTTCGATTGTCAATGCGAAATAAGAAACAAATTTTCGGTTTCAATTTTTAATGATTCGTTATTAAGTTTTTGGTTTTGTTTTGTTATCTTTTTTTAATATATAAAATGACAAACTATTCAAATAGATCGTACTTCTGTCTTTGGATAATTTGCAGTTTTATACACAAGCACACATTGAAAAAGTTTGACATATCGTAATCCGTGTAAGTGATTTTTTTTAAAACTATTAACTTATATTTAATTTAACTTTCAGCTTTAAATATAAATTATATGACGTAATTACATGACGTAAATAAGCCCCACCGTGTCCGAGCGGTTCCGTCCCTGAACACTGGGAACTCGGTCGTGGGCTCGCGCTTCCCTGACGGACTGGCCATGGAGTTTTCCGGGTTTTCTCCACATCTGTAGCGCCTGAACCCTTAAAAGACCTCCCGGAAGGCATTTCTTCCCCACGTAATATCGCGTATCAAGAGAAGGCGCTGGGGAACCACTCTTGTACTAACTTCCTCCAGTTCATCACTTGGCGCGCAAACTAATCCGTACTAATCTGCGCCGGATGTTGGCCGACATCAGAATGACCCGATATGGTACATGAAGAGAGAGAGAGAGAATTTTAAATAGAATATTTAAAAATGTTTATATGCTGTAATTCGACTTCTTAAAACATAGATTTGCTATTTTTTTACAGTCTTATTGAAATATGGAAGATAACAACAGCGATAACGATACGAAATTCCTAACTTGCAAAATATGCAATAAAGTTTTCACTGGTCAAGTTCCTTTGGATCAGCATTTACAGAGCAGTAAACATAGACGAAAAGCTGAAAATGTTGGTTCTGAAGACAAATCAAACGATAATTTGGATTCTATGAGTGAGAAATATAGTGAAGTTCGAAAGGAAGAAGACGAAGATGATGGAGTTTTACAACCAACTACTTCAACAAACGACGATGATTCTGAAGATTCTGAAGATGACGATGACGACTTTACGCACGGTTGTAAAGATTGTGGCGTTACTAAGTTTATCAATTGGGAAAAATTTGCCAAACATTTACTGAGCAAAGATCACGTGATAAAAGCATTTGAACGTATTAATCTTCAAAAACCTAAAGCATCTAGAAACATATATTCAAATAAAGAGTCCAATTTAGAATGGACTTAAATCGTCTAAAAATAGTAAAATTTTGAGAACCTCTACAAATGGTTTAAACTAAACCTTGTATTCTTCATAGTACTAACGTCCGAACATTTGACTCGGAATATTCAGTATGCTTCTCTCTAATGGTATAAGTAAGTTTATTATCTTCAAAATAAGAATATTGTAGAATAATATTAATTTGAAATGTTTTGAATTTATTTATAACAAAATCAAAGTATGTGTAACTACAATACATTCGTTTAATAAAACTTTTTGTTTAAAATGTTATAAATATCTCTTCAATTATATATAAGTCTATATAAATATTTATAATTTTTTTTAAAATTTAACTTATTTAACTGTAAGTCCTCCTGTCAGAAGTAAGTAACTAACTTTCAAATACGATTTTTATTTGAAATTAAGGATATTTTCAGATAAAATAATAAATTTAAACAAATCTTAAAGTTGTTAGTTCAAAAATTAACGTGAATTTTATTAGTTTTACATGAAATGTTTATAAGTTGATGTTATCTATAAATAACATGATATTTGTGAAGCAAACATTGCTATGGATTGTGGTGTTATATCCACTGGAGAGGCCTGTTATAGTCAAGGCGAAATGCATTTGGAGGTAATATTAAACTAATAAAGCTGGTTTCTTTTAGAAGAAACTTGTAGTCTTATAAAATCCTATTTTTTAAGAACATTTAGTTTTAAATAATTTTTCAGGTACCTCGGTAAAGACTGAGAAGAACAATTTCTCGTTGTTATTCTGAAAAGTGTTTTAACTTTGACTTTTTTAAAAAAGTCCTTTTAAGTTATCAAACTACCGATTCCATAGTTGAATTTTACACATAATTTTATATAACTTATAAACAATTTGTGAGAATTGTTGACTCGATATCATCTGAAGAAACGAGGTCGACACTTTTCTTTAGCGGAAGAGCGTAGTCGTTCAGGGTGATGAGAGGAAGTAAACTGCGTTTGTGGGTGGAGTGGGCACTGATGCAAGGATTTAGTTTATTGGAAAACAAAAAGACAGCTTACAAAATTTGGAGATGTATTTTCTAATACAGTTTAACCAGGAAAAGTCCTGGTGAGATTCTAGATATTTGATGGCCCCGGACTCTACTTGTTGCTATTCGTAACTGAATTCGAGGTCACAGTAAAATCAACATTAATGTTTTAATGACAGGTCGGGATCAGTAAATATTTCAGTGTCATCGACGGGAGATATTTACTGATGTTTCTACTCGAAACTCAAGAATTTTCAACCAGCATTAATATTTCCAACTGCATTCCTTTGACATTTGGTTTCAAATGAAACTCCTTTTGCTGTTTATACGGTTGTCAGAATAAAAATTCCACTTTTCAAATTCAACAGCCTCTATTATTCTGACAAGAATGTTCAAACCCTCTTCAAAACCTCACAGTTTTCTTCACATAAAACTATGCTGATGATAATAATATTTAGACGCGAATAAAATAAAGTTAATTAACACTAATACTAAATAACTTTTTAAATAAAGAAGTAATACTAAAATACAATCATTTATTAAATATATCATCATTTTTTCTGGTAAACTTTGTCGTAATTATCAACTAAAATGCAAAAAAAAAACTGTATCTTGATATATTATAAAGTTTAAAAATTTCTCTTCAACTTTTAGTAATAATAGTAGTAGTAATAATATAAATAGTAGTAACAAATTTTAAACTAGTAATTTCTATTTAATTGTGCTTTTAATATCCTAAACAGTTATTAGAATATATAAAATTAAAAAATACAAAATATGCCGGTTTTACTGATACGTGATTGTACCATTAAGGTTTCGGTAGAATGTCGCGTCCGTGAGAAACGCCCACTCTCCTGCCGGACCGCGTAACAGCGCTCTGACACTCCAAATTTCATCGCATTTGGTGTTTGTGGTCGTGTCCGGTTGTTTGAACTCACCATTCATTTGCGGATCGCATAACAGCTTCCGACACTCGGTGTTTAAATAATCTTGTTTGTTTTTACTTTTCAGTGATATGGTTGTTTCGGTTATTACCGCGTTACTTATGAGAATTATATTGTTTTAATTGACGTGTTTTATGTTACTTATACTGGTAAATTTTTTCAATTGTGATTATACTGTATGTATGTTAGTGTATACTTGTTTTGTATTATTGAAGTTTGTTTGTATTGATATTTGTGGCTTTTTTTTGCCAAAATGGGATTTTTTATATGACAGCACTTGTTTTTGATGCTGCCCATAAAAATTGTGTATTTATTATCGTTATAAAATATCTAACAGTTTTATTTCATTTATTTTAAATAATTAAATTAAATCTTTCTGCTTCTTTCTATTTAGTTAACTAAATAAAGATGAGAAAAACCGCCAAGTGTCTTAATTTATAGCACTTTATTGTGTCAGAAGCAGAAACAAATATCGAAGCACGGTTTCATATCATTAAATTAAATTAAAATCATATTATCCCAAATCAGATAATAATTATATACTGTATTGTATATTATTACAGTATTTATGAAGTTTTATATTAAATGTAATTGGAAAACTAAATTCGCACTTACCTGAGATTGTTAATGTCTTGGTGTAATTTTAATTAAATTTCAATGTTTTATATATTTAATCTGTTTGTTTATATTTAAACTTTTTTCAAATTTGTTATAGATAAAACATATTAATTAAAAATTGAATATTGTATTGAAGTATATTCGTATATTTAAGGATATTGCTTAATAATTTAATTATTAGGCAATATCCTAACAATTTAATTAGATATGAGTGCGATGAATTGCTGAGCGTTCTGTAATATAATCCGTGCGAGTAAATTTCGAATATGTTTTTTGGCCGGTCTTTCTGGAATATGTCGTGTCTTTTGTGTCGCCGATTATTTCCTCTTATTGTCGGCCCGGCCTTGTCTTATACGATCAGAGAAAAGAAGGCTCTCTTATTTCCCCCGGGCGTTAATATTAAAAAATTAAACGAAAACCACTTTCTATAATTAACTTATTTTCATCCAGTGCTCCGAACAGAAACAGTCTTCCATTAATTAGGCGATTAACTGCCATAATATCCCTAAACGAAAGAAGAGAAAACTAAAAGTAGGCCTACCCCAAAAGATAACTTTCGATGAGTACAGTAATACCCCGAACTTACGCGATAGGTGGGACAGAGCGAAACCGCGTTAATCGAATTCGCGTAAGTCGGGGTATAATTTCGCAATTTGTGTAAAATCCAAGTCGGATGTATGTAAGCTAATAAATGTTCTCGGTAATCTTATCTCGTCTTTTGATTCGTTCACGGTTACAAGAAATCACCACATAGAGTCTCTCGAGTCTCTGTAGATATAATAAACTCAGAAATAAATAACACAAAATAAATTGTAGCTATGTGTCGATTCCGCGCGACACGTCCGAACATGTATGCTGAACAATAGTGTGGGGGGAGTGAGTAATCAAAAGTTGTATGGCGCTCAAACAAAAGACGAATCGACGAGATTTGAAAATCGCGTAACTCCGGGTTCGCGTAAGTCGGGGTAGCGTAAGTCGAGGTATTACTGTATATGGAATTACTGTCCTACTGAATGGATTATACGCGTGCCCTCACAGGCGGTAGAAGTATAACTGATAGTTGCACAGATTATGTTATTAGATTAATATGAATCTTTCATCTACAATCATATGTAATGAACATATGATTGTAGATGAAAGATTCATATTAAGGACTCTAGAAGATTGTCTCTTACCCGAATAGCAAAATGCATGAATGAATAACATTACTTTTCAAGCATCATTCGACAATAATAAACTCATAGACTGGGCAATAAAGATTCTAACTTTTATATACTATTTTTTACTTCATCAATGTATCATAACATAGTAAAATGAAAATTAAAACGCCTTGCCCTGTCTGTTGTTTTGCTGTTTGTTAATTGTTTTGAGCACAAAAAGCTTCCGAAATGTTTCCATGTCTCTTTGGAAAATGGATTATATCATTTGAGAATGATACTTCTTTCTAGAATAATTTAGAATTTAATTATTAAGAATAGAAAAGATTCAGATAAATGCACTGTATTAGAAAATTATTTTAATTAAATATTAAAATAATTTTCTAATACAGTGCATTTATTGTCTCATTGAAAAGAATATAAGACAATATCCAAGCGAATATTATTTATATCTGATAAATTAATTTAATTCGATGCTAAATTGAAACAACCTTAAATATTTTTTATGAAAATTTAAATCTAAAACTAGAAAAACAACTCGCAATTTCCAGGAAACTTTCTATTTCAGATGGCGCCGAAGAATACGAAATGAAACGAATTAGAATCCTTGGAACGTTACAATTAATGCGTCACGCGTTACGTCATAAGTTCTACGTCAGAATATTAACTAATTGCAAATGTTTTGTTTAAAATGCTAAAATAATTCTCTTTTTCTAAAATATCGCTAAGAAATTTGTAATAAATAAAATTATAAAAACATATTCCGTATCCTTACAGGCAGCAAATCTAGGTTAAAAGGGTATCTAGTTTAAATTAAGTTATTCAATTTTGATAAATTATTAATCGAAAAATATTAAGTTACCTACGTTACGCAAGCTTTCGTTATTAAAATTTGTACGAAAAATGTCAAAATGGAGGGAAAAATAACTCGCAAATTCCGGAAAACTTTCTATTCCAAGATGGCGCCGGCAATACGAAATCGAACGAATTCGAATTTGTCGAACGTTACAATGCGTCACGCGTTACGTCACGTATTCTACGTCATAGATGTGATATTTCGAGGACTTTAATTGCATATTTTTAAAAAAGTTTCTTTTTAACAATTTTTTAATCTCGAATTTGGAAAAATATTTGTTAAATGTAAAACTTCGTTAAAAAGAAAATTTATTCAGATAAACATAATAAAATTACGTAGATGGCCCATAATAAAAAATAATTTCTAATAAAATACGTGTTAGTATTTATTTTCTCGATTCTAATGCGCATTTTTTTTGGATTTGTTTGATTTTAGGGTGCGCATTATAAGCGAGCACAAAGTCAATTTAAATGCTGCCTCGTTGGCTATTTGTTCCTCATTCCGCTCGGCAATTCGCGTACATTAGGTCGTTGGTATAAACCCTCCTACTAATCCGGTTTTATTTTGAAGCTGTTTGATGATCTTTTAATTCTAGCAATGCGAGTGAACAATGTCCGGCAGACGGGTCACCCATATAGCTAAGTTTAAG